TCTCCGTCTGCCTCTACCAAAAACCCTTTCCACCAAATACCAAAGTTCTTTTTGCTACAGCGGGGCTAAAGCATGGAATGATCTAAACAACAACCTTAGGAAAGAAATTTAAGAAGGGTCTTCAGCTACATCTTTGCAATGTAGCCAACGCTGGTATCAGACAGAGGTCGATTATGTCATGACGTTTTATGACATTTTATAGTTGATTAATATACTTATCAATCAGTTGTTAAGTTAAGGTTATTTATTTACTAACTAGCTATTTATTAAGTTATATGTAAATTAATTGTTAATGGGTTAATTAATTTATGTTAATTATATAATTTAATTATTTATTGGGGTTAATTAGTTAATTATTGGCCTCCAACTAAACCAACTTGAGCTGAATTGGACGTGCCTATATAAATATTGCAAATAAATAATTACATAAATAAGATATAAAATGAAATGAATAATTAGTACAGCTCGAATATAACATCCTTTTTTCTAATATTTAATGGAACGTCATCCTGTATGACCGTTATTAAAACGGCAAATTTTTGTTTGGTTTGGTTGAATGTCAGCCCAGAAATTCGCAATTACATGCAACTTGCGAGTGCAGTCTCCCATACATGCTGTGTAATTAAAGAAATCATTCGTATAGCTTGAACATTAGAGCTATGGATCTGAAATTTAGCAGCCGTCATTTCTCTGTTGGCTTTAAAGCAACCATTTTGTTTTTGCGTTGAGTTATTTTTAGCTGAGTAATTTTAGTTTTAAAAATTTTGTGAAGCGTCTTTATGCATAATTGTTAAACAGTCGATAATTGCATCCTGTGTTCATGCGACGTTGCAATAGCTCAGTGGGAAGGACGTCGGGTTGCAGTATTTGTCTACCGTCTTAGGACCACTGTTTCATATCCGGTACAATTTTCCTTTTCTTTTTTATATTTGTCGAGGATGAACAAGGGATGGGTGCACTGTTTTCCAAAAATTCGACGTCGTTTTCTAGCAACTTCGTGTAGAATTTTATACCTGACAAAAACTAGATTTGAGAACTAAAGGGAATTCATACTCATTACGCTGTCAAATGGTGCATTGTTCAACGAGTGAACTCATACAAGGAAATCCTTCTCGCTTGAATCTGTGTTTGTCTAGCGCAGTATCCTAACTGTAGACACGCCTGGAAATCTGCATTATAAGCAAACTAATCCTATGCAGCCAGGCGGGATCCCTCCATCCCCACTGTTGAATTTTTAAACGATCACTCTCTAACCTGCAAGGTCTGATGAGCGCCTTGTAAGCGGTGATCGTTCGTACTTCAAAGCGATATGAATATATTACTTCTGCTAGGAAGGATATTTGTGATATGCCCAAAGTTTGTTAAGATAGAATACGCTCTCTAAGTCACGTTTATGACAACTGAGATGTAACAGATAAATAAGCAAAACAAAGCAAGAGATTTCAGTTCGGTATCGGGGTCAATAGCTTCAGTACTTTTTAGGACTGACGTTTTCTTATCTTTTGGACTACCTTCAAAGGCCAATTACTTAAAAAAGAAAGTTTAAATCAAATAGATTTCAACAATGCTACATGTGGTAGATATACTAGAGAAAGAGTGATCTGTTTGGCAGGGAGAGGAAGAGGACATTTTGAAGGAGGAGGTAGCTTCTGGCAGTGGCAGTTGCATAGTCAACAGTATATTCATATTGGTAGAGCCGAAGATAGTTTTGCCTTGTTTCAGGCTCATATCCAGCGACTGCAATCGACACGCGGCAAGAAAAACATAGACTATGTCACACCCTCAAACTTACCTGATAAAGGAGTTCTGCCGATGACAATTCATGCATTTTGTTGCAAGTTTCCCAGCTGTTGGTTAATTATAGCTTAAATGAGCGATACACTTTTAAAACATCGGTGAACGACCGAGCAGTTTTAAGGCAATAGACTTTTATTGGGAAAGGTGGCCTTGGGAAACTCTCGAACTTCCGCGCAGTATGACACTTCTACGTTGTTTCAATGACAGGTACAAAAAAAGAGCGATAGAGAACAGTTAAGATTTTTTTCTTATTTGTCATCAGATTATGTACTAAATGAACAGGCCGATTTTTGTCTAGAGCGGTGCTTTTGCCACGAAGTGAATTGCTTTTGTTATATTCAACATCTCTCGTGGACAGAATAACGTAATTTCTCTGCTTTGAACTCAGAAATAGACGCAATTTAACTCAATACACTGCTAAAGTTGATAAAAGCTTCGCTGACAAGTTAACTCCCTTACGTAAGTGAAAATCTGCTTTCGTGTCAAATTGATGGTTAAACGCAGTCAAACTGTCTATGTATTCAACACACCGCAAATGAAACGCCACTTAGAATGGATTGTTCGCAAATACGCACCGGACGATTAATCTGATTGACTAACAGTTGTGAAAGAGCAGTTTACGAGATCATTCCAAGCAGCTGGTATAGCCAGTTTGCCCAATATCGAAATCGAAAGTTTGTTTGGAACACCCCTAAGGTCTCCACTCTTCCAGCTCACGTTTATCGCCGACTCGATTTTGAACTCGAAAACACGGGATCACGATCACTTATCAGGCGGTAAAAGACAGAACAGTCCACTTATCTGACTTCAGGTTAAATCTTATCTGATTACCCAATTCCAATATCCTTCAGATTACCTGAAATCCAGATAACAGGAAATTTCATAAATTTCGTCAGTTCAGCTATGAGGAGATTAAGAGATTAAACGCGCACTTTAGAAGAGATTTTTAATTAGTGTTCCAGTTTCCGACATTGCTCAATTCTTTTTAGTTGTAAAATGACTAGTGGCCTATTTGAATGTCAATAGAATATGCTGCCCTTGGCAAATTAAGCAAATGCAGAAACTGACTGCATTGAAGTTAGGCAGAGTTAATTGACCGGTGGAGAGTTTTTTAGCGATCTTTTATTTAACTTTCTTGAATCCCATCCGATGGGAAACTTTGATGCATCACACGGGATTTTGTGCTGTCACTTTTAAGCCTTTGCAACTACACAACAATTAATTAGGGTTGCCAAGATTGTAATTAAAGTTTGTGAATGGGCACCCTTTTTGTGTTCACAAATTAACAATGTCGGACAAAGTGAACAATAGCCTTAAAACAATACAACAACATTTACTTCTCATTAGCGACTAAACTTTTGCAACCACTTAAAAATAATAGCCCCTCTTTTAGTTGCTTTTCCTTTACGCCGAGAGTGGTAGAACATTTCAAGTACAACGTGGAGTCCTTGTCCTGACGTGCTTTTATAGGGAAGCACTGTTTCATTAATGAAAACTTTAATCCAGTTACTGCTTTGAATTCGCTAAGAGCTGTACTAGGAGCAACTATAACAACTCACTCGTTTAATGGGCCAGAAACTTACATTAGTCACAAGTTGTCGCTAGAATAATGGAGGAAGAGGCGTCCTTTCCGTGCATTAGGAAGTCAAGCACTGCTCGGTTCAGGAAGCAAATGTTATCAGAGCACCGACGTAGTCTGGATGCGGTAACCGTGTCGAAGAGTTTGCTCACAAAGCCCATCAATGAAAACTCAATCCATGGTGCTGATTGGCAACACCGACCTTTGTGTTTGAAGCAGGTAATCGGTGAACTGCAGCAAGACTCCATTTTAGCGCACAAACGTGCGAATAACTATGCAACTAGTAGAAGTTTGCCCAACATTTCTGATTTACGCCTAACAGAGGTAGCACTTCAGCATGCTACTGCATACAAACAAAAAAGTCAATTGCTTGAACAATGCGATTCATCTTCGTCATTCGAGATTATCTTGAATGAAAAACTAAATTATTCGCTACGGAAATGGAGTCGTTACTCGGAGACGGGAAAGTACAAAAAAATGTGGCAGTCGTTAGGCAGAGATGTCCAGGATCAGCACGACAACGGAAAGAGAGAACGAGGGAAGGTGCTAGGCAGCAGTCAAACTTCGCACAGCGGGCGGGAGAGGGAGCAACTGACAGCAGCAAAACGCAAGGATAACCCAAAGGAAAATCTATCCATTCAGTTTTCAAAACAAGGAAAAAACTCATACCCAAGCCCGCGATATCGCTCTCCCAGTCAAGTGTTACCCAGAATTATTTTACCTGACTGAACTCAAACAGCAGGAATCAGGTAAATATCATAAAGAGAATCCAGGGAAAAGACAAAAGTCTTGGCGAATAGTGGGTAAAAGGCGTACAAGGTCATCGATTTCTTCTTGACATCTCGTGTTTTCCTTGGAAACATCTGGCGAACATCGTTGCCATTTCACGGATACGTGTCTAAGCTGCTCTGATGGATATCGAACCATGAAAGGACACAAGCCAAACCACATGACACGTGTGGCACGAGAAAGATTTTCACAGATCGTGATAAAAAAAAAAACGGACAGCACTGACACATAACTTTCATAGATTGTAATGAAGTTAGCAGTTAATTAGTTATTGTATATACAGTATGTGATAATTAGTTATTGTGGGTCTGTCCCTTATCCTTTATCAGTACGATCGGTCCGAAAACAAGTGTTTTGATGACAAACGCACCCTTGGATTTGGTGCCAATGTTAAACTTAGTGCCACAGTTTTAGGGAGTACTTTGAACCTCTGACGTAATGTTGTAATATGAATTGCTATTGGCGATTCACGAACCACATTGATACCAAAAAAAATGGGAGCGTTTATTTTTAGCCATTCCGATCGTATATTTTGCGTTGCAGGAGATATGGACTGCCGAAATGTTTGCATTATGAGATGATAAGTACACGTAATTTAATCCTTCCGAGGTTACCAGAAGTTTCTGCTTGCATCATTTAATTTTTCTTTTGTCGCTGGTAAGTTATAATAAAATGGAACGACCTTCATTTCACTGTTAGTATTCTCCGAAATACCGAGGCAGAGACGTCAAGTGACCTTTGTTATGTTCAAAACTATTTGAAAGCAAAAAAAAAAAAGCCTTTCAAATATTACGCACGGAAAATAAAACGCTTAAATTATTTGTTGGAGTCAAGATGACCATTGAGAACTTCAACACTTTAGATGTTGATATTTTATTTACATTAATAAATGGCTTTTTCTAATATTACAAGAGAACTATAAACAAGATAAAGCTGCGAGCATAAATCTGCCAGGTGATGTATCGTTCATTTCTATCAAAACTGTATTTAACACTGAATGTTCAATAGAACTGTTGTACGTCTTTTCAAAAATTCTCTCTGCTTCCGGCCTGGTGTTACTTGCGAATTAATCCTCTTACATCGGTAAGGTTTATTCTAAAAGTAAGCACTAACCTCTAAAAAGCTCTATAACAGCTCCCGAAAAGTGTCCAGAGGTGTTCAACTTCACATCGCGGCCTGCACATGATTTTATCTAAATTGGTTCTTTTCTCTTAGTGTTTGGCTGAATTTAAAATGTCTTTAGCTGTTGCACCTAATGTAAACCGAAAATAAAGAAAACATAGTCAATAACAGTATCTTGTCCGCTTTGTTTCTGAGGTGAACAGTGTTTCAAAGTTACTAAGTCATCCAGTGTGGGGACTCGTGCCATCTGTTGTATTTCTGTGAAAGGAAAAAAATACGCAAATCAATTTTTTTCTTCTCGTGGGGTCGTTCACTGATGACAAATAGCGAGACCAAAGTGAAAGCAATCTTTGAAACAGTAACAAGCACACATTTATAGTATGATTGCATACCACTGGCCGTCGTCTATCCTGAATAGTACTGCCATTGTCCTCATTTGCTGTTGTGCTTGGCCTCTTTCTCACTGTCTGTCTCCGACTTTTTCTTCTTGGTTTCCCACTAACGCGGCCTTCATGTAAAATAGTTATTTTTCCGTCACCATTTTCTGCAATGAAGGACAACAAGATGACTGCAAGCACCAGACAAGTTATTGTCTTCATGTTGTGTTTCTCCGCAATGCTTCGACGTTATCAGCAAGTTTCTCAGAGATGCTTCTTGCACTCGTTCCTATGTAGAAGTGATGTCCTCCCAAGCAGGATTTGGATATCACAATGGTCCTCAAAGAATAAGTCGTGCGGTTTCCTCAGCTATCATTAAACTGTCACTTGGACGTTCGCGACGTGCATGGAACTATTTTTTATTTGTCTTTTCTCCTGCAGTAACTCCCTTTATAACCCTAAGGAGGAAATCTTGACATCAATACTCTGATTGTCTGTTTTCTTTGTAGTACCCGCGACAGTCCGGGAGCAGAAATTTCAGCCACGAGCAAAATGCTCAACATTTTAATTCCACTCTGTCAAGTTAGATGATAATTCCGTCTGGCACTGTGACACTTGCTGGCAGCATAATAGGTATTTTGTTGTCGAAATATTTTTAGACAAGCTTAAGTGTAATAAGGGTTGTAAACTGCTTACTTTCAGCACTAACTGTCCATAGTGTAACCAGTGCCTCATTTCGCCTTAGATTAGGTGATCTTTGTCGACAATTGCAACTAATAGCTTTTGTAATTCTCAAAACGAAATGAAATACAAAGGAACAAATGGCAATCAGTAAGGGAAATGGGGATTCAGTTTGTAACATTTTCAGTACACCAAGGGTTCCTATAAAGCTTCGGCAGAGATAAAATCTTTTTCCAAGCAACGTCAAAGAGAATTAAGATGACAAGTTAAGTGTAAACGGATTCCCGCTGGTAAACGTTTGTTTGTATTTTGACCCAAACTTCACGAATATCGTCATAATACTTTGTCACTGTTTTCGAAGCTGGCAAAATCAAAATAACTGTTTTCATGCCCATATTTTCGCTATCGAGTGATTCTCCCTTTTAGTGAGATGAAGAGATAGAGCAGCTTTTCAACGTTGTTTACGCTTCACGTGTAAGCATTCTCACCTATTTACCACTCGACACGTTTCCCAATCAATGGCTTTTATCACGCCCCCACTAATTAGCTCGAGCGTTTGAGAACTGACACAATTTTCAGAATACGACCTTGAAAATTTATTAAGGTAACTCTGGTGTATCGGTGTTAGAAACATCTTGACAGTTGAGACTGCTGAGAACCGAATTTCTTGTGTTATCTCAGACTTGTGATGCGTTCTGCCATATTTTTGTCAACCTTTTTCGTTGTTCCACGGACGCTTCAAAGGTTGATCGATCAGTCAAGCCGCCAATTGGTGTAGAGAGTTAATCCAATGAGCATTAATAGGATTTTTATAAGCGTGTTATGGCAAGTAAGATTTGTGGTTAAGAGGTTCGTGTGCTGAAATACAGCGCACTTCTCTCGTCAAAAATGTAAATACTAAAATAAGATTATGCTGGTTTAATTACTTGCTAGACGACCTTAACATGTTTCATTCCTCAGTAACGGAAATAGTGGAGGAGGTAGGACTTCCTATCAATCGTCACCAGCACGCCCATCATCAACAGTTTTGATCTAAATTTAGGTGTGGTTTCCATTTTTGAGATTTGCTATTTTTCAAACGTTGCATTGAGGTCACAGATGAGGAAGGTCCAATTATCGTAATTATCTGCAATGTAAATAACCATGTTAAGAGATCTATAAACCATAATTTGTACATGTCTATGAATTTACGTTATCCTGTTTTTGTCTCTTTGTGTTGAAAACTGTGCGAAAAAACAACTGGCTTTTTGAAAGACGTTGCATGACACTACAGTTGTTTCATGTTGTTTGGTTATATTTTATTTCATTTTGTCAGCACATGAAATCATGAATAATAATTGTTGACTTTGTAACCTCTCGACTTCCACGGACGGTTCCTAGTTCAAAGTACGGCTTGTCATCCTTTTTGCATATTAAATTCTCTTTGATAGATAGATCAATCATGTCTTCATCTCTTTGATAGGTTGTTACGTTTTCTCCGAGACCACAGATGAGGTCGCACATTGTTATGAGCCGATCACGACTTTGCTGAACATGGTGGAAAGAAGTTACCATATTCACATGCTGAGGACCGAGGCCTGCGATGACCTGTTTTTCAAGCTCGTGTCACTGTCGAGCACGTATCCTTCGGAAGCGGAAACAAAACAATACCGAGATACACGTGCCGGATCACATTGGACCGATCAGTGGTTAAAGTCAATACGTTCATATCCCGCCCGTTATTTCCTGCTGTTATTATATTAGTTTCAGAGGAATTGATCTCAAGGCTTAAGACCTTCGGATTTCATTGCAAATACTTAAAAGCCATCGTCAATAGAACCTTGTAAAATTCAGTTTAAATAATGTAATCGCTCGTAAATTGCTTCATAAATGTAAAAGTCTTGATAATTCCTGAAACGATCTGGTTAGCGATATACACTGTATGCCCGTTATATTGAGACACCTCTGTTAGCATAAAGTAATGCTATACGATCAGCCGATAATGCTGCTATTATTCGCAACGTTTTAAATTACAAAAATACCCAAAGCAATGTTAGCAGCGTCATCCTGCTATCTCGAATAACCCGCGGTATCGTGCAACTTCCTGGTATGCAGAACATCCACTGCTACCATCAAACATCTCGTTATCTCAATCATTCAATCATCCTGCTTTCATTAATATCCCCCTCCCTTTTGATTTAAACAAACGTTGGGAGTGCCTTGCCGATATATCTCAAACGTATTTAAAAGCCCTCCATAGTGTAGCTAAGGAAAACTTGACAGAGGTATGTGTACGCCAGTCAAAGTGGCTCACAACAGTTTCCAGCATTTTTCAGCACTTCCTCTTTAATGAGTCAATACCACTACTCTCTTTCAGTTGGTGCCATGATAATGTATCAAAGAAAGTCCCAATCACTGGTGAACAAGTGTCATATAAACTCTTGGTCTTCGGCCATCGTAGCTTGATTGCTTTGTGTTATATTTTTAATCAAGCCACTGGTGAAATTATGGTCAGTTTCGTTATGCAGAGATTATTATAGTGACTGAATAATCCGGTTAAAAACGCCCTTAATTAAGGCTTTATTCACAAAGACATAAACATAACTATGCATTACCACAAGCAAGTTGAGGACACCAGAACATAAACATAACGACATACGCAAATACAGCATATTCCATATTCTTCTCAAACAAACGTGTGACTCTGGGGACGAGAATGGACACCACCCTCCTCAATTTTTAAACAATATGGCGGAGCCGCCATGTTGTTTGCGCTTTTTTTGTAAAGTGAGCCATGATTGGTTGACCGCCCGGTGCTTATGCTTCTGCTTATGTCACCGGTGTTCTCAATGCGACATAAGGGACGGACCATTATTCTTTTGAGGGGTGGGTGGGGGCTGGGCAATTTTTTGGGACATGAAATTAAATTTCTTTTGGTGAGCAATAGTTTGTGCAAGTCAAACACAGGACCTGGATAGTAGAAAGCTCTTGCCCGTTTTTTTGTTTTTTTTTTTCTTTTCTTTTTTCCCGTGGCTCCCTTGCACGTTCTTTTTCAGCAATTTTTGCTTTGCAGCAATTTTTTAAAAAAATCGATCAACCCCTCAAAAAAAAAAATTACGTCCTCTCCCTAAGAGCTGGTTCACACTTTGACATAAGCATAAGCATAAGAAAAATATGTGTGAACCGGGGTTGCATAAGCATAAGCATAAGGATGGCTATTGCGCAGGCGCAGTTCACCTCTCCGGAATCAAAGATGGCGTATAACGAAGTTGAAATTGGATTGTTGCTACTGTTAAGCCGTAGAAACCGAAGAAGATTGCTTATGCAAAGACAAACACAAAGAAAACCGAGAAAGGTCTGGATAAGAGACATTTTTACGTGAAGAAAGACAGAAGGCGATTATTATAACCTTGTACAAGAATTAAAACTGGGAGACAGATAATTTTCTACATCACTCCAAGCCAACATTTTCTTGTTTTTTTCTTTAAAGTCTGCTGATTTTTTGTCGTACAGACAAGGATAATTGCGGACAGATTCCGCCAACTTTTCGTTCACCTGCGTCGCCATGTTTTCAGCTGACAGATTCTGACAGAGCGGGCCTGGATTTTATTTTTGTGTATACCGCTGACAAGAAAACTCTTTATGCTTACGCTTATGCTTATGTATGCCCGGTTCACACTCAAGTATTCACAACATAAGCATAAGCATAAGAAAATGGAAAATGTTCCATTCCTTGCGCTTATGCTTATGCGTATGCTTATGCTTATGTAACCCCGGTTAACACATATTTTTCTTATGCTTATGTTTATGCTTATGCCTATGCTTATGTCAAAGTGTGAACCAGCCCTAAAGCCTGGTCCTCACTAGCGACGCAAGCATAAGCATAAGCATAAGCATAAGCATAGGGCTGGTTCACACTTAAGAAAAAAGAAGAAAGAAGAAAGCTTGTGCTTATGCTTATGTCGCGGCTCCTCACTAGCGCACAAGCTTCTTATGCTTATGTTTATGTTTATGCTTGCGTCGCAAGTGAGGACCGGCCTTAAGCACAGCATCTTATGCTTATGCTTATGCTTATGCCTGTGCTTATGCTTATGCTTATGCTTATGCTTGTGCTTATTCTTGTACTTATGCTTATGTTTGTGCTTATGTTTGTGCTTATGTTTGTGCTTGTGCTTGTGCTTGTACTTGTGCTTGTGCTTGTGCTTGCGCTTATGCTTATATTTATGCTCATGCTTCTGCTTGTGCTTATACTTGTGCTTCTGCTTGTGCTTATACTTGTGCTTCTGCTTGTGCTTATACTTGTGCTTGTGCTTATGCTTGTGCTTATGCTTGTGCTTATGCTTTTGCTTATGCTTTTGCTTGTGCTTGTGCTTGTGCTTATGTTTCTGCTTATACTTGTGCTTATGCCTATGCTTATGCTTAAGCTTATGCTTGTGCTTATACTTGTGCTTAT